GGGGGTCTCTTAAGTCTCATTGTTGGGGGTTTCTTAAGTTTCTGTGTTGGGGGTCTCTTAAATCTCAGTGTTGGGGGTCTCTTAAGTCTCTATCTTGCGGGTCTCTTAATTAAGTCTCTGTGTTGGGGTCTCTTAAGTCTCTGTGTTGGGGGTTTCTTAAGTTTCTGTGTTGGGGTCTCTTAAGTCTCTGTGTTGGGGTCTCTTAAGTCTCTGTGTTGGGGGTCTCTTACGTCTATGTGTTGGGGGTCTCTTAAGTCTCTGTGTTGGGGGTCTCTTAAGTCTCTGTCTTGGGGTCTCCTAAGTCTCTGTGTTGGGGGTCTCCTAAGTCTCTGTGTTGGGGTCTCTTAAGTCTCTGTGTTGGGGGTCTCTTAAGTCTCTGTGTTGGGGTCTCTTAAGTCTCTGTGTTGGGGGTCTCTTAAGTCTCTGTGTTGGGGGTCTCTTAAGTTTCTGTGTTGGGGGTCTCTTAAGTCTCTGTGTTGGGGGTCTCTTAAGTCTCTGTGTTGGGGTCTCTTAAGTCTCTGTGTTGGGGGTCTCTTAAGTCTCTGTGTTGGGGGTCTCTTAAGTCTCTGTGTTGGGGGTCTCTTAATTAAGTCTCTGTGTTGGGGGTCTCTTAAGTCTCTGTGTTGGGGGTCTCTTAAGTCTCTGTGTTGGGGGTCTCTTAAGTCTCTGTGTTGGGGGTCTCATAAGTCTCTGTGTTGGGGGTGTCTTAAGTCTCTGTGTTGGGGGTCTCTTAAGTCTCTGTGTTGGGGGTCTCATAAGTCTCTGTGTTGGGGGTGTCTTAAGTCTCTGTGTTGTGGGTCTCTTAAGTCTCTGTGTTGGGGGTCTCTTAATTAAATCTCTGTGCAGTTTCTAGCTTAAAGGCTTAACTTTCACGGAATTTAATACCATTATATATTTACAAATGCTGTTTGATCAGACAGAAAACCAGTTATCTATTTCAACACTTTAACTGTTCTAATTAAATTTTCACGTTTGGTTTATGGAAGGTTCCTGCATGACCGATGACGACTCCCCCGGGGAGGTTCCTGCATGACCGATGTCGACTCCCCCGGGGGAGGTTCCTGCATGACCGATGACGACTCCCCCGGGGAGGTTCCTGCATGACCGATGACGACTCCCCCGGGGGAGGTTCCTGCATGACCGATGACGACTCCCCCGGGGGAGGTTCCTGCATGACCGATGACGACACAGGGACTCTTACACTAACACAGGGACTCTCACACTAACACAGGACCTCCCACACTAACACAGGGACTCTCACACTAACACAGGGACTCTCACTAACACAGGACCTCTCACACTAACACAGGGCCTCTCACACTAACACAGGACCTCTCACACTAACACAGGACCTCCCACACTAACACAGGGACTCTCACACTAACACAGGGACTCTCACTAACACAGGACCTCTCACACTAACACAGGGCCTCTCACACTAACACAGGACCTCTCACACTAACACAGGGACTCTCACACTAACACAGGGCCTCTCACACTAACACAGGGACTCTCACTCTAACACAGGACCTCTCACACTAACACAGGGACTCTCACACTAACACATGACTTCTCACTCTAACACAGAGCCTCTCACACTAACACAGGGCCTCTCACACTAACACAGGACCTCTCACACTAACACAGGGCCTCTCACTCTAACACAGAGCCTCTCACACTAACACAGGGCCTCTCACACTAACACAGGGCCTCTCACAATAACACAGGGCCTCTCACACTAACAAAGGACCTCTCACACTAACACAGGGCCTCTCACTCTAACACAGAGCCTCTCACACTAACACAGGGCCTCTCACACTAACACAGGATCTCTCACACTAACACAGGGCCTCTCACACTAACACAGGACCTCTCACAATAACACAGAGCCTCTCACACTAACACAGGACCTCTCACACTAACACAGGATCTCTCACACTAACACAGGGCCTCTCACACTAACACAGGACCTCTCACACTAACACAGGGCCTCTCACAATAACACAGGGCTTCTCACACTAACACAGGACCTCTCACACTAACACAGGGCCTCTCACAATAACACAGGGCCTCTCACACTAACACAGGACCTCTCACACTAACACAGGGCCTCTCACAATAACACAGGGCCTCTCACACTAACACAGGACCTCTCACACTAACACAGGGCCTCTCACACTAACACAGGGCCTCTCACACTAACACAGGACCTCTCACACTAACACAGGGCCTCTCACACTAACACAGGGCCTCTCACACTAACACAGGACCTCTCACACTAACACAGGGCCTCTCACAATAACACAGGGCCTCTCACACTAACACAGGACCTCTCACACTAACACAGGGCCTCTCACAATAACACAGGGCCTCTCACACTAACACAGGACCTCTCACACTAACACAGGGCCTCTCACAATAACACAGGACCTCTCACACTAACACAGGGACTCTCACTCTAACACAGGACCTCTCACACTAACACAGCAACCCCCCCCCCACAGTAACGCCGCTCTCCCACCCTAACACCCACCCATTTTTTTTTTTGGGGGGGGGGGAGATTAAAGGGGAAGGAGAGGCATAGGTGAAGGGGAAGTTTAGAAGTGGGAAATACAGTGAGAAGTATGAGAGCAGGCGGGCTGTCCGCCTTGCTGACACCATGTGTGGGTTGGCAGCTAAGCTAAGCTGGCTCCCTCTTGTCAGGGAGCTGTGAGTGTGTGAGAGGTTCTTCACATGTGTTTCATGGGAAACCCCCTCCCTATCCCTTTCTCTCCCACTGCCCCATAACCATCCCCCCTCCCACCTCCCCATTCCCCCTCCCACCTGCCCTATCTCCTCCCACCTCCCCCTCCTCCCCCCTCCCACCTGCCCTACCCCCCCCCCCCCTCCCATTAATCACGGTCAAGAGTACTAATGCAAAAGTTTTCCAACGAGTAATAAATTCTGCGCGTTGTTCACGGCCTCAAAATGTATTTATATCATGAAAATAACTTTTTGAGGACGGCGGAATGGAACAGTTTGAGGGGAGGAATGGAACAGGTTGAGGGGGGCGGAATGGAACAGTTTGAGGGGAGGAATGGAACAGGTTGAGGGGGGCGGAATGGAACAGGTTGATGGGGCGGAATGGAACAGGTTGACGGGGCGGAATGGAACAGGTTGATGGGGGCGGAATGGAACAGGTTGAGGGGGCTGAATGGAACAGGTTGAGGGGGGCGGAATGGAACAGTTTGAGGGGGGGGGCGGAATGGAACAGGTTGAGGGGGCTGAATGGAACAGGTTGAGGGGGGCGGAATGGAACAGGTTGAGGGGGCGGAATGGAACAGGTTGATGGGGCGGAATGGAACAGGTTGAGGGGGCGGAATGGAACAGGTTGAGGGGGGCGGAATGGAACAGGTTGATGGGGCGGAATGGAACAGGTTGATGGGGCGGAATGGAACAGGTTGAGGGGGCGGAATGGAACAGGTGGAACAGGTTGAGGGGGCAGAATGGAACAGGTTGAGGGGGCGGAATGGAACAAGTTGATGGGGGCGGAATGGAACAGTTTGAGGGGGGCAGAATGGAATAGGTTGAGGGGGGCGGAATGAAACAGGTTGAGGGGGGCAGAATGGAACAGGTTGAGGGGGCGGAATGGAACAGGTTGATGGGGCAGAATGGAACAGGTTGAGGGGGGCAGAATGGAACAGGTTGATGGGACGGAATGGAACAGGTTGATGGGGCAGAATGGAACAGGTTGAGGGGGGCAGAATGGAACAGGTTGAGGGGGGCGGAATGGAACAGGTTGAGGGGGCGGAATGGAACAGGTTGAGGGGGCGGAATGGAACAGGTTGAGGGGGGCAGAATGGAACAGGTTGATGGGACGGAATGGAACAGGTTGAGAGGGGCAGAATGGAACAGGTTGAGGGGGGCAGAATGGAACAGGTTGAGGGGGGCAGAATGGAACAGGTTGAGGGGGGCGGAAAGGAACAGGTTGAGGGGGGCAGCGGAATGGAACAGGTTGAGGGGGGGCGGAATGGAAAAGGTTGAGGGGGTGGAATGGAACAGGTTGACGGGGACAGAATGGAACAGGTTGAGGGGGGGGCGGAATGGAACAGGTTAAGGGGGGGGGCGGAATGGAACAGGTTAAGGGGGGGGCGGAATGGAACAGGTTGAGAGGGGCAGAATGGAACAGGTTGAGGGGGGGCGGAATGGAAAAGGTTGAGGGGGTGGAATGGAACAGGTTGACGGGGGCAGAATGGAACAGCTTGAGGGGGGCGGAATGGAACAGATTGAGGGGGGCAGAATGGAACAGGTTGAGGGGGCGGAATGGAACAGGTTGAGGGGGGCAGAATGGAACAGGTTGAGGGGGCGGAATGGAACAGGTTGAGGGGGCAGAATGGAACAGGTTGAGGGGGCGGAATGGAACAGGTTGAGGGGGCAGAATGGAACAGGTTGAGGGGGGCGGAATGGAACAAGTTGATGGGGGCGGAATGGAACAGGTTGAGGGGGGCGGAATGGAACAGGTTGAGGGGGGCGGAATGGAACAGGTTGAGGGGGGCGGAATGGAACAGGTTGAGAGGGGCGGAATGGAACAGGTTGAGGGGGCAGAATGGAACAGGTTGAAGGGGCGGAATGGAACAGGTTGAGGGGGGCGGAATGGAAAAGGTTGAGGGGGTGGAATGGAACAGGTTGACGGGGGTAGAATGGAACAGGTTGAGGGGAGCCAGAATGGAACAGGTTGAGGGGGGCAGAATGAAACAGGTTGAGGGGGGGGGGCAGAATGGAACAGGTTGAGGGGAACCAGAATGGAACAGGTTGAGGGGGAGGGGGGGGCAGGCTTCTAAAACCTCTGATCTGGAGAGCTCACTGACGCACCTCCGCTCTCGTCAGAGAGCCGTGAATGTCTGAGCCTCAACGCCTCCGCAAGCTCTGAGCCAGGTCTCCCGGTGACGTCACAGCCTCCAGGGGCGGGCTCTCATTGGTCACTCGTCATGTGACCATAGCCAGCCAATCCTCAGCCTGTTGGCGACTTCACGTTCTTGGCGCCAATCTGGCAGGGGGACGTCGCCATTTTGTATTTACTAGGGGCGTAAGCCCCCTTACCTGTAAAACATAGAAATGGTAATTTCTCCACAAATACGTACTCTTTCCAGCTGCCTCCTATATCAAACGATTCCTTGCGCCTTAGGGGAGCCTACAAGATGTGGACATATGACTCTTTACGCTGGAACAGGGGAGAAATAGGAGAGGGCAGTGTGTCAGCGCCCAGGGTTTCAGAGCCTAATGGCACGAACCTGTAACAACTTTCCAGGTCCCAATACTTGTTTGTTTGCTGGGTCTCCCTGAAGGTGGCCGCCCCGCCTCCCTCAGCAATTCTGCGAGGTCTATATATATCAGCTAATGTAGACGCACATGTGTGACCCGTTTACCTTCCCTCCATGGATGCAGGGTTACTTCATCTGGGCGTTTTTGTCTGCTGTCAGGCCTGCACAACTGAGGTTCCCTTTGTGCTGGGCACCCAACTGTAGCCAAGCTTCTCTTGATGATGTCATTGACTGCTTCATGTCTGACAATCTTTCCCTGTGTCTTATGACAGATGAAACCATGGGTGCCGTATTGGTCTGCCCGTGCATGGCCGCAAATACACCGGTGCTCGGTGGAGATAGGGGCGGCAAGGCGCAGGGCAACCCCAATACTTAGGGCCCGATGGTCCAGGCGGGTGCCCAAGGCGGCATTAGGGACTGTCAACAGGAAGTCTCCGGCAAGGGGGGCTTGCACTGAACCCATTGCTTGAAGATGCCGCAAAGGACCTTCTAGTGGAACTTACCAGATTTTCCAACATGTGTTTGGCTGGCGGCGTCCCTGAGGACATCAGGCCTGTCTTTTATGGAGCAGCACTCTGTGCTTCAAAGAAGAAGGATTGGGGAATCAGGTCCATTGCCGTTGACAACACCCTCCGACTCCTCGTAGCTAAGGCTGCAATGAGATCTATCAATCAGGAAGCAGCAACCTTGCTGAAACCTCATCATCTCAGGTTTGGGATCCCCTTAGGCTGTGAAGCTGCAGCACATACAGCACGGGCTTACATTGCTGATCTCCCGGACCAGAAGGCACAAGTAAAGCTTGACTTTAAAAATACCTTCAATCAAGTCAGACGAGACGCTGTCCTCAGGGCTGTACACAACCATTTCCGTCCCCTTTACCCATTCATCCGATCGTGCTACAGTGGGGCCTTTAAGTTTCTTTTTGGGGAGCATGAAATAGACTCCAGTGAAGGAGTCCAACAAGGTGATCCCTTGGCCCACCCCCTCCTTTTCTGCTTAGCTATCAAAGAGGTCACTGATAGTCTGACAAGCGATCCAAACATCTGGCACCCGGATGATGGCACTCTCGCCGGAACCCCGGATACCATTTTGGAGGATATAAGGAAAATCCAGGAGCAGGGAACAGCCTTGGGCCTCATTCTGAATGCACCCAAAAGCGAAATAGTCTCCCGCAACCCAGACATCACTGTCCAAATAAAAATGTTCTTCCAGATATTCTCGTTGTCGAGTGTCACTGTAACAGTGTCACCACTGACACTATAAGTGTCATGGTGATGATGATGGGTCAGTACTTCTCGCTGCTGTAACCATCTTTACTACACACAACCTTCATCACTGTAACCATCTTTACTACACACAACCTTCACCACTGTAACCATCTTTACTACACACAACCTTCCCTACTGTAACCATCTTTACTTCACTCAACCTTCATCACTGTAACCATCTTTACTATACACAACCATCATCACTGTAACCATCTTTACTACACACAACCTTCATCACTGTAACCATCTTTACTATACACAACCATCATCACTGTAACCATCTTTACTACACACAACCTTCACCACTGTAACCATCTTTACTACACACAACCTTCCCTACTGTAACCATCTTTACTTCACTCAACCTTCATCACTGTAACCATCTTTACTATACACAACCATCATCACTGTAACCATCTTTACTACACACAACCTTCATCACTGTAACAATCTTTACTATACACAACCATCATAACTGTAACCATCTTTACTGCACACTACCTTCACCACTGTAACCATCTTTACTACACACAACCTTCATCACTGTAACCATCTTTACTATACACAACCATCATCACTGTAACCATCTTTACTACACACAACCTTCACCACTGTAACCATTTTTACTACACACAACCTTCACCACTGTAACCATCTTTACTACACACAACCTTCCCTACTGTAACCATCTTTACTTCACTCAACCTTCATCACTGTAACCATCTTTACTATACACAACCATCATCACTGTAACCATCTTTACTACACACAACCTTCATCACTGTAACCATCTTTACTATACACAACCATCATCACTGTAACCATCTTTACTGCACACTACCTTCACCACTGTAACCATCTTTACTACACACAACCTTCATCACTGTAACCATCTTTACTATACACAACCATCATCACTGTAACCATCTTTACTACACACAACCTTCATCACTGTAACCATCCTTACTACACACAACCTTCATCACTGTAACCATCTTTACTACACACAACCTTCATCACTGTAACCATCTTTACTATACACAACCATCATCACTGTAACCATCTTTACTATACACAACCTTCATCACTGTAACCATCTTTACTACACACAACCTTCATCACTGTAACCATCTTTACTACACACAACCTTCATCACTGTAACCATCTTTACTATACACAACCATCATCACTGTAACTATCTTTACTACACACAACCTTCATCACTGTAACCATCCTTACTACACACAACCTTCATCACTGTAACCATCTTTACTACACACAACCTTCATCACTGTAACCATCTTTACTACACACAACCTTTATCACTGTAACCATCTTTACTACACACAACCTTCATCACTGTAACTATCTTTACTATACACAACCTTCATCACTGTAACCATCTTTACTACACACAACCGTCATCACTGTAACCATCTTTACTACACACAACCTTCATCACTGTAACCATCTTTACTACACACAACCTTCATCACTGTAACCATCTTTACTATACACAACCTTCATCACTGTAACCATCTTTACTACACACAACCTTCATCACTGTAACCATCTTTACTACACACAACCTTCATCACTGTAACCATCTTTACTACACACAACCTTCATCACTGTAACCATCTTTACTACACACAACCTTCATCACTGTAACCATCTTTACTATACATCAACGTAACCATTTCTTGACCAAAACAATAATATTAGGACATTGTTACACATATAATTTTCAGCTTCAAAAATCAAGGAATAAGGAAACAACAGTTAAATAACTCAGATAAAATATTTTATTTAATCCTAGTAAAAACATCAATGATTTTTAATATAAAAATGTCTTTTCATTAATTTAATTTTTTTCCTTTTTAGTTCCTTTTCCTGTTTTCGTTCGTAATTATTTTCCTGCTTACGCTTTTTCTCTTTTTCTTGTCCATGCTGCTTCACTTCTGCCCGCCGTTGTTCTTCGTGGTTGTGCCGGTGTTCTTTCTTCCGTGGGTTCTTCTCCACCTTCTGAAGCTTGGTCTTCATGCGTGCGAGCTTCTTTGTGAGAGCACTGGACACTGAGCCCACCACTCCCTGCCTGGCTCGCTTGATTCGTGGGTCATGTGACCCCGGGGGAACAACCTCTGCATACCTGCGTTTCACACCTGACCCTGCCTCATATCCTCCATCATGACCTATGAGCCAAGGCGGGACCCCTTCTCCATAACCTTCAGGCAAGTCTGGGTTCCTGCCAGACTCATCCATCCTTGACTGAGGTCTAAGTAAAGAGTCCTGAAGGACTCAGTGAGGCTCAGGTAAATATCCCAGATGGTGAATATTTAGTCAAGGTGATAGTGTTTCTAGCGTAAGGCTAGGTAATTATCAGGGGAAAGCGCTAAGGCATTACGACTATACAGCACAGGTATAGGAAAAGGGGGATAAGTAACTAGGATATGATAGAGGAAAGGAATAGCGCCTAACCACTTCGACGGCACTATTCTTGTTTTAGTGAGTGGAGCTGCTACAAAGTGCTGATGGCAATGGTGTTGTCAAGAGTTAGATGCTGGCAGCTTAGTAGTGAATATGGCAACCCTGGAGATGTTGGCACTGTTGGCAATGGTGTAGTGAAGAGTTAGATGCTGGCAGCTTAGTAGTGAATATTGGAGCAATGGAGCAGCAACGAAGACGTAGTTTTGAGTGCAGTAGTCACCATAACAATGATGTGAGTGTAATAGTCATGGTGACGATGTTGGGAGTGTAATAGTCATGGTGACGATGTTGGGAGTGTAATAGTCATGGTGACGATGTTGGGAGTGTAATAGTCATGGTGACGATGTTGGGAGTGTAATAGTCATGGTGACGATGTTGGGAGTGTAATAGTCATGGTGACGATGTTGGGAGTGTAATAGTCATGGTGATGATGTTGGGAGTGTAATAGTCATGGTGACGATGTTGGGAGTGTAATAGTCATGGTGACGATGTTGGGAGTGTAATAGTCATGGTGACGATGTTGGGAGTGTAATAGTCATGGTGACGATGTTGGGAGTGTAATAGTCATGGTGACGATGTTGGGAGTGTAATAGTCATGGTGACGATGTTGGGAGTGTAATAGTCATGGTGACGATGTTGGGAGTGTAATAGTCATGGTGATGATGTTGGGAGTGTAATAGTCATGGTGATGATGTTGGGAGTGTAATAGTCATGGTGATGATGTTGGGAGTGTAATAGTCATGGTGATGATGTTGGGAGTGTAATAGTTATGGTGACGATGTTGGGAGTGTAATAGTCATGGTGATGATGTTGGGAGTGTAATAGTCATGGTGATGATGTTGGGAGTGTAATAGTTATGGTGACGATGTTGGGAGTGTAATAGTCATGGTGACGATGTTGGGAGTGTAATAGTCATGGTGACGATGTTGGGAGTGTAATAGTCATGGTGACGATGTTGGGAGTGTAATAGTTATGGTGATGATGTTGGGAGTGTAATAGTCATGGTGATGATGTTGGGAGTGTAATAGTTATGGTGATGATCCGACGATCCTGGGAATGTAATAGTTATGGTGACGATGCTAGATACTCTATCTAGAAACCCAACATTATGTTTGTAAGTCATCATGTATGTATGAACTTTGACTTGAATAAACATTTGATTTGACCATGTACAAGGTAATTTACCTTTCAGATTTATAGGTTTTATAATTGCCGAACTAAGATTCTGCCAGATTCAAGCTAATATATATATAATTGACAGTCAGGGTTATATAACTCTCAGTCAGGCTAGTTGTCACTCACACTAAACAAATTGCCAGTTTCAAGCTAATATGATTGCCAGTAGAGATAATTTAATTGGCAGTTATAGGTTAATATAACTGCCAGTCGGGCCAACATAATTGCCAGTTAGAGGAAACTATGATTGACAGTTACAGGATTGAAAATTAGAGGATACGACAACTGCCAGTTACAGGATAAAATAATTGCCAGTCAGACTAATATAATTGCCATTCAGGTTATTATAACTGCCAGTTACATGCTAAATATCATTGTTAATAAGACTAATATAATTGCCAGTCAGGCTTGTCAGTGAACTCGATTCCATTTACTAATATTCAATACAATAGGCAGATAATATTCCTACTGGGGTCAGCAAGCCGTTGAACGCCAAGCCGTTGAACTTGGTTGTACGCCAAGAAATCCGGACTCCACTTGCCAAAGATTATTGGGGAATACAAACCTGGGTATGCGTATGGAAATGTCAAGACACACAAGCCTGGAAACCCACTTCGGCCAATCATCAGCCAGATACCCACACCCACGTACAGACTGGCAAAGCGACTCAACGGCTTGCTGACCCCTTATGTCCCTTGCGCCTTCAGCCTGAAGTCTCCAAAGGAATTTGTTGAGTTACTGCGGGGAACACAGGCCGCAGGGATAAGAGCCTCGTTGGATGTAGAATCATTGTTTACCAACATACCTGTGGATGAAAAAATTTAGATAATAAGGGACAGAGTGTATCATGATCCGGCCTGTACTCCTCTTGACATACCAGAACACATTCTAAGGAAACTACTCCAAGCTTGTTCTTAAGAGGCACCCTTCTTGAGCCCGGATGGGCACATGTATAAGCAAGTAGATAGGGTCGTCATGGGTTCTCCCCTAGGTGTCCTGTTTGCGAACTTCTACATGGGTACCATCGAACAGAAGGTTTTAGACGACATGAACTGGAAACCGGCCATATACTGCAGGTATGTTGACATTTTTACACAGGTACCTGATGTCTGTGAGGGGATGGTTCACCAGCTCACTTACAATAGTGCTCTTATGCCTGTGGAGGCCAGTACACTTGTTAAGTGTGCGGACTTAAGTTTGGTAACCAGCAACTGAAACATCTAGTGTTTGGGCCCATGTGAGAGCCCCAGTCACCAGCAGTCCAGAAATGTTACCCTGGCCGGTGTAGCACGTCTGTGGACAGCGCTAGAACCGATAGCATCATCTCATTTTGTGGCATGAAGCTAGACTCGAGTTTGCTCGGGAAACAAGCTAGGCCCCAGGCGTGTTTGAGCTGTGGGCCTCCCGCACGCTAGCCAGTCGTCGTCATGGAAACAGCCGCCATCTTAGTAAACATCTTGAGCCGCCATGTTGGTCGGCCATCTTGGTGTTGCCCTAGGGGCTATACTACCCAGTTGCTGATTGGTTGAGGGGTAGGCCGCTGTATGCCTTCCTCTCATTGGTTATTTCGAGGAGGACGTGGGAATCGCCTGTGTAAGCGTCATTCTGAACATAGCTGCCACTTTGTCAAGACGCTCTCTGTACTCAATTCGGCCAAATTGAGTATAGGGCGTCGTGGTGGCTTGATTACTCAACTGCTTCACCTCCTGCTTCATCTACGACGGTGGTTGTCACAGAATCCAGCCGAAGTCGTCGCTCGAAGAGGAGAAAGACATTGTGTACAGTGGGTAGAGATCCAGTGATCTGGGATTGTGGGGTAATGTGCATACGAGCAGTAACTGATTAAAAAGAAAACGTTCCATGCAGCTATATGTTCTGTAGCAGTCGATGGGAATGGAGAAATTCGCGTCAGTGTTTTAAGGCAGATTTCCCATGTTTGTGTAAGACACTATCGTTGTGCGCGTCACCTGGGTTCAAACGCCTCACTTCACCGGTGGGTCGAAGGTGCGAAACGAGCCGTGTTGTGAGGGTGGGGTTTGAGTGCGCGCTAAATGTACGTAAAATACCAAGTGAGGTACCAGCACCGCCTAATCGCCACCACTGCGAGCCAGCCACCTGCAGCGGGGTGCCTGATGTATGGGAATGGTGTGTAGGCCGGCAGTATGAATGAGTAAGTACCTGTGTGTGTATTTCTGGTGATCAGTTAAGTCTCTAAAAGCTTGAATTTGAAAGTCAAGTGTTCCGTCACATTGTCACGCAGCATCTGTAGAGGTGAAGTGAAGTGTGGATGAGGAGATAATCACCCTTTATTGCCATCTTGATAGTCTAGAGGGACTAACGTCTTGTGTACACAGATGTACAGTGGGTGTGTGTTGGTACACACGGGAACAGAGTATACATAGATTAGCCAAGGACTGAGGGGATGTCCATGTAATATTATATTATTCCATTGTGGTAATTAAATCATTTTTGATCGTCCATGTGACGGAGTGATATTATTTCCATGTGTAGTCTTGCAGGTGTGGAATTCCAACACTGAGCGCTCAGTTAGTGTGTGTGTAATGTCAGTATTCCTGGCAATGATTATTGTGGAGTGTACCACAGTGTGGTCTTAATTTTTTGTATTGTCCCCAGGGCCGTGACAAGTGTGATTTATATATATATATATATATATATATATATATATATATATATATATATATATATATATATATATATATATATATATTTATGATCGATGTTCCCTTCGGGAATCTTAATTTTAAGATGAATAGGAAAACCAGGGATATACTGAACATCTTGTATCAGAATCTTTACTTTAAAAAACATAACGTTTCGAATACTTCTCGTATTCATCATCAGATCTAAAAGAAAAAACAGAAATCACAGTCAAATAGCTGGTAAACAAAGAACTCATACTGAATATAATTGCCTATCAAAGAAAGGAAAAAGCTTAAAAAACAAAACACTTAAGCGCACTTAGAGTGATCAATACAAATAAAACTTATTAACTGTCACATATATTAAAACTAATTTAAAATCCATTAAACTACAAGATGAAATTTATAACTACTAAAACAAACCATTCTATTAAACTTACGTGAAGTGATCAGAAGTGAAACTTGATACCTAACACATAGATACTAAACACTATAACAAATATTTATATAATGTCTACAAATCTACAAAAAAATGTATGTAAAATACAAACAGAATAAACGACAATTATAAAGTACTAACCAAAATCTAATAAAAAACTCAAATATTAAATAAAATTAAATACCAAAAAATGTATTATATATCCTAAATAAAAGATTATATTAATGTACAATGTTAAGACTTGAAATAAGTAAGAAAGGGCAAAGACATGGTAAACTAAACAAAATTAAACTACCAAAATAAACTAAAAATCAAATTACAGGGCCTACTGTGCACTATACAGTGTACAATTGAACAGCTGAAAGGTTGCTATTTAACAGAGGCCGCAGCTCCTTTATATATAAGGATTCCATTACTCTCAAATCTGACTGGCCATTCATACAAGTGTCCAGAATTTTAAAATCAGATTCCAGCAGAGAATGATCAAACTCATAACAATG